AGGTAATAGAGTGGGTTGTTTTGGGTAGGCAGTCAAAGTAAAAGTTTGCCAAAATTTTCAGAAACTTTGAATTTACGTTATCTACTTATGCTAGGGCTTCCCTATAAGCGACATGTTGTACAATGACCTCACTGACGATATGACCTTTGATGAACCAGAATGACATACTAGAATTCGTGTAGCTGACCCCAATTAGTTGTGGAAAGGCTTTGATGATGATATAATTTTTGGTAGTCTTGAAAGAAATGGTCCTATAGAGAAATTGGATAAATGGGCAGAAATTTATGCGGAAATGCTCAAAATTACCTGCATAAAAAACCAGTAGCATATATTATGTTTATTACATCGTAGCTAAGGGTAGACAAGTGTTGTTAAATAAAAGGGGACACTCTCCCTATAAAGAATATAGGGTGGTTGGACTTGATATAAGACAACGTATACGCATAGTATTTTTCAATTTGTATTTTTTATTTATTTTTTTGAACAAATCAAATTATTTGGTAAGGATAGAGAAAATTAAGAGACAATTATGGAACATTTTATATATTTAAAAAACAGGGAAACCTATGGACTTTGAGAGATTTTAGGAGATACATTTAAAAAATGACAGAAAGAGATATTAATAATGAAAATCTACGGAAAAGGGATTCATTTTAGGAGAATTTTACTACAATATGGTTATTTTATGACAAACCATTACTAAAGCCATATTCCATAATTTGGATAAGCTTTCTATAGTTAAAAATATATATAATTCATAAGAATTCAATGGAGTCTTGGTTGACTATTTTATTTTCTTTTCTTTTTTGATCAAATAAGTGACCCACAAGAAAATTACGAATTTGGGTATAGTTAGTAGTTAGGATAAATATAAAAATTATGAATACAGATTAATATGGATATTTTCAAGGAGAGGGAGAGAGTAATGTGAGAGACAGAGAGAGAGAGATACCTTCACATACCCTCATGTTTTCCATGTTCCCCATCTCATCACCGTGTATGCAATGTTTGTTCTTCACGATTGTTCGTTAATTTATTTCTTTTTTTTTTTTAAATATGTTTAGTTCAAACATGCATAACTCTTATTAGATCTTTCTTTTGTTATTTTGTTTATTCTCATAATTATTTTTATTTATTTATAGGTGGTGAGAGATTTATTTGAAGTTATTTGTGCTTGACAAGTCACATATGCATCTTTGAAGGCATGTTACTATTATTTATTATTTATTTTACTATGACATAGGAAAACATACCAATTATAGAAGGGTGCGGTTTCTATAAGGTTGCAACCTTGAATAATCCAATTAAGGCGCACCTCCAAATTTTATTATAACATGTAGTTTTGGTATAAAGAATTACTAGGATTATCTAAAAATATATTTTCATATCTAATTATAAAATTTTAAACTCCAAAAATAGTTAATATCATGTAGATCTATAAACATGTGAAAGTTTTTGAAATGGACGGTCTAGATAATGTGTCGTAAGATGCACTATTTTTAATACTCAAAATCGTTTTTTATGTATTCATACATCTCAATGTCGAGATGATTAATTAGAGGGTCTTTCAATATTAAAACAATCTTTTCCAATGGATTTTTTAGGTGCATTTGTAATTCTACATTATAAGGTTGCAACCTTATATAAACTTTTCCCATTATAGAATAGGTTTAGAATTCCTAAGGGTCTTGGAAGGAGAAACTATAACTTTTTGCTTACATGGTTTTACTGTACTTGGATCAACACTTCTTTGATCTATTGTAAGGCGCATTTTAACCATCTCTAATTTTTTTCTCTTTATCTCATGTTTTCCCCATGAATATGTCTTTCCTCTAAATCACAATTTAGCCACCCTTACATCTAAAATGATTCCATTAATAGTGTCAATATAATTTTATTTTTGTTATTTCAAGATATTTTTTACATTTCTATTATTTTTACATAAATTATTGCACTTGTTTTGAACAATGTTTTATTTATGTAGATTAATTGTTTGTTTCTATACATCCAAACTTTTGGAACTAAATTATTTGTGTGTTGGCATTCTTCCGACTCGACAAACGTATTTCATCTTTAATAGTGAGTTCATTGAAATTTTTATCTAGTTTTTAAATTTTACCAGTTCCCATCAATTGTAAAACAAGATTTAGAGTGACTAAGAAAACTTTGCATTTGCAAGGTACATAGTTATTTTATTTGAATTTCATAAGCACTAGCATTATATCAATTTCAATTCATACTCTTACTTTGAGTATATTTTAATTTCAATTCACAATATTATTTTGGGTATGCTTTCTTTTAAAGTTCTTTTGAAATGTCATGATTGCTAATAATCTTCATGTTCCAGTCATATTTATTCGTTTTGTTTTTCATAAATGAGTTGAATAAAAAAAAATGTTCTTCTTATTGGATGCATAATGCTCTTAAGCAAATGTGCAAAGCATGTGCATTGTACTATTCAAGTAGTATACAACTCTTCAAGCTTTTCGAGAACAAAAAGAAGCGACAAACTTGTATCACCTGTTTAACATGTTATATTAAATTATCAACTCCATTGTTCTTTTAGTTGACATCATGGAGGGATACTAGGATGTGATAGTCCTCTTGGATCAAGAATCATTGAAAATAAGAATTGTGATGAAAGTTTTTCAAGAATATATTTCCATAATGTTTACTGTGGCCAAGTAGCTATCACACTCGTTTGTAAAGAAAATTCAAAAGAAAGAGCCATCAATGATTTCTTTCTCCTATTTATTCATAGGGCAAATCAAGACATAATTTGATTGCCCATAATTTTATAGTAATTTATTGGGTCATTGGACTTAGTTTGAGATCTTTTGTGGAGGGCCTGACATCCAGAAGCGGCAGCTTTTGGAGCCATCATTTTCAGACTCTTCTTCGGTATGGGTCCAAAAATAGGACCGAGTAGGTTGGGTTCGGGTCCAAATTCTAGACCTAAACATTATTTGGGTTTGTATCTAAGTCTCGTAATATCTTTATGGATCGCCATTTATAAAATATAGTTAAATACATAGATATTTTAATTTTTTAATCATGTCCGGATTCAGGTCCAAGTCCCACACTATATTTTGGGTTTGGGCTAGTGTCCAATGAATTCAGGCTGGGTCTGATAATATTTTTAGGATCAGGTCACGGTCCAGGGCACCAATCCGTTGTCACCCCTATTCCTCATCTCAACATTGGCCAAGGAGCCCCGTGCTAGAGAAGAATACAACACACTTGGATATCTTACGTCTACGAGAAGAGATATATTCGCCCTACACACACTATGGAAGTTACTTTTTTGGAGGTAGTACTATTACAACTAATAAACTCCAACATAATAATAACAACAATAACACACAATGTACCATCAATTACTATTACCATGTAGCAAAGGCTAGTATTATATGGCATACCTTTCCTGTAAAAAATAGGAAAACCCACCTCATTTTTGTGCACCTTCACAATCCATGTGGTCACCAACTTACAATACATGCCAATTATTAGTGCCAAATGAAATATAACAGCAAATACGAATGAAATCAAAATTCACATTAATTAAATAAGGGCAACTCCATTCTCACTAAAAAGTAAAGGCTTAAATTTCCATGACTTACCACTTTACTTATCAAAAAAACAGTAATTAAATGTCATAATGTCATAAGGCAATGAAGTGTACTCATTGAAGCAATGATAGGGAGAGAGTGAGAGAGAATGACAATTAATGAATGAATTTGTGAATTTGTGTGTGAGGCTGTGAGCTTCACGTGAATTTTATTTATTATATTAAATCCAAGGTTGGTGATCCTCTCCCCTTTGACTCTCTCACCTAAATGTAGCGTAGAATAATAAAGCCTACTCTCCATATCCCCGTGAAAAGCATTACTCTCACCATTTAATGCACTATATCGTATATCATCCCATTCTGTGGACCACCTTTCAATCTTAATAAATTGTTCCCTATGGATATTGAGAACTTTTAATACAAGCTTTTTTACTTCACTTTTTGAATTTAGCCTTTTAAGATAAAGTTTTTTTATTAGTTTTCTATGCTTCTCTTACAACATAAAACTTATATGTTTTTCTTTATCCAATCGTTCATTTTGAATGGAGGATTAAGATTGTCCCAATCACAATGTCATGTCCCTACACTGTTTTATTTTTAATTTTTTTCTATAAAATATTTTGAAACCAAATTTTGGGCATCCAATCGTCTATTACATTCGTACTTGTAAAAAATATAAAAAAAATATCCCAATAAAATAAAATTACCAAAATACCCCTGAAAGTTTTAAGGGATATTTTGATCATTATATTTTATCGAAAAATTATTTTTAATATTTTTTATAGGTGTGACCTAATGAGATGATAATGCGTATCAAATTTCATATTCATACATTTTTTATAAAAATAAATTATTCTGAGGCATTAGATCTAAGATCAAATGGTGAGTGGCTTACTTGATAAAAAATGGACAGCTGGATGGTAGGAGAACCATAGATCTTTTATGCTGTAGGGAAAGTATAAAATCTTTTCATATATTATAAGTACACTAACACTTTTTAAAATATGAAAAAGGTTTATATAAGGTGTCAACCTTTATACTATACGAGTAGGGTGCACCTAAAAACCTCATTAAAGAAGGTTATTATGTTGGAAAACCCTCAAATCAATCATCTCGACCTCGAGATTCATAGACATAAAAAAAAAAAGGGGATTTATAGTCCTAAAAATAGTTCATCTTCTAACACATTATCTAGACCGTCCATTTTCAAGAGTTTCAAGTGTTTGTAGATTTGCTTGATCCTCACTATTTCTAGAACTTTAAGTTTCATAATTGGGGGCAACAATACATTTTCATATCATGGCAAGGCTTTGCGGCACTGCAATTGCATTTTCGGCATAGTTTTGAGGTGCAACTTACTTTAATAGTATGAGGTTTACAACTTATATAAACCTCACCCCTGTAGATATAGACTTACTAAACGCTTGGAACCATGTACATTATTATTAACACCACCTTCGGACCCACATTAATTAGGGCATCCCAACTTCAAACTATGTAACCGTTTGAAAGGTACTTAAATCCTTCCCAGTCTCATTCTCCACCACCATCTCAACCCACTATCTCTTCTTTCCTCTCTCTCTCTCTCTCACACACAAAAGCTTAAGCATCAAGTGGGAATGATGGGAAGTAGGCTAGACTGGTTCATACCTGTAGTGGTAGCAGCCATGGCTGCCTCTGCCATGGCATACACAGTAATAGTCCCTGACTCAGTTCCCTCCACCCTGGTTGACACCCCTCAAACAGGCCTCTCCATCTACACTGACAATGCGCACACCGACCCGAACGAGCAGCAAGCGGTGTATGACATCATGAAGGCGACCGGTAATGGGTGGGCTACGACCATCCCCGACATCTGCAAGGGCCGGTGGCATGGCATTGAGTGCGTCCCCGACAACAATCGCATCCTCCACGTTGTCTCTCTCTCCTTTGGCGCGTTATCTGATGACACCGCTTTCCCGACCTGTGAAGAGGGGGCGTATATTTCGCCTTCTCTTACTAAACTCCCTCACATCCGCCGCCTCTTCTTTTACAAGTGCTGCACCGATGGCCCTCAGCCGATCCTGTCGTTTCTTGGTCGACTTGGGAAGTCACTTGAGTCTTTGGTTCTTAGAGAGAATGGGCATGTTGGAATCATACCTGAAGAATTGGGCAATCTAACCCAGCTCAAGGTTCTTGATCTCCATGGAAATGGACTGGTTTCTAGCATACCGAATTCTTTGGGTTCTCTGTCTAACTTGAGACTGCTCGACCTGAGTGAAAACAAGCTCGAAGGCCAAATTCCTCAAAGCATTAAAGGTCTGAGGAAGCTCAATGTCTTGAATCTGAACAAGAACCTATTCCATGGTCCAATTCCTGACCAAATTGGATGCTGCACTTCTCTAATTAAGCTCGACTTGAGCTCGAACCAACTCACGGGTCCAATACCGGACAAGCTTGAGAGCCTCAAATCACTGCTCTTAATGGATTTGAGCTTTAACGAGCTTTCAGGTCCAATCCCCTCGACCATCGGTGAATTGGGTTCGCTTGAGGCTTTGGTATTGAAGGGTAACCAAATGGGTTCGAGCCAAATACCAGAAAGCTTTGGAAAGTTGCGGAGCTTGATGGCCATGGTGATGTCTAATGTGGGTCTCAGTGGCCCTATACCTGAATCTTTGGGAAAGCTTTCCAAGCTCAGGGTTTTGCACTTGGACAATAATAGGCTTAATGGAACCATACCCAAAAGCTTGAGTGAGCTTGGTGATCTGAGCGAGCTCAGATTGAACCAGAACAAGCTAACGGGTCCGGTTCCTTTCACTAAAGAGATGCTTTGGAGACTTGGAAGGAACATTCATCTATCAAACAACTCAGGTCTGTGTTATTCACCGGAAGAAGAGAGAGAAGAAGATGATGGTTCTCTCTCTCCCTTGGGTATCAAGTACTGCAAGCTCAAAACCACAGCTCATATCTCGTCGCATCGACATCTGCACCTGTCGAACCAGATAGCCCCCTTTCCTAGTTCATCAGCTGCCATGTCTAGGAGAGCTTATGATCTCGCACTGTACTTAGTAGCAGCACTACTAGTACTAGTATGGTTTCTCGCTTTGTAAATATGATTGAGTTGCATGGTTGTACTATATTTGTTCCTTTAAGAAATGCAAGTAAAGCTCATGATTTCAGGTTTCTGTCAAAAGTTAGTTTGCTTGGCTAACTGTGATGTTCCTCTAATGCTTATATTTGCAAATAAATGTGATGCTGCCGTACAAAGGAAGGGATGTAGCATAATGGCCCATATGTAATGGAGGTAAGCAGTGCCACGATTTTCGATCCCCGTCGTCATCGCTCGTCAATCCGGATGTGGAATCTGTCAAGAGCGAATCGGTTTCGGAGTGATATGGGTCTCGACCCTTTTCCCACTTAAAACCTTTTTTCTTTTCTTTTCATTAAGTTTATATAATGTTTTATGTGGCCCCCCTAAATCCCCTCCCCATATATTTTCCTTTTTATTTTATTTTATTTATATTTTTTTTATCATTGTTCGAGACTGTAACAATCTTAACCTTTCAAAAATAAAAAAACTCTTTATAGTATGATAGTTCATATAAGCATTATGGTTTTTAGGGACCATCACTACTTTTATACCTTTTTACCCTTCACTTTTCTTATCATCTGCCACGTCCTTTAGTGGACGTGGGTTGTAAATATTAGAAGTTTATTATTAATGCTACACCTCACGAATGAGGTGGTGGTGTTTTAAAAAATTTAAATAAGACGAAAGGTAAGACATCGCCTAACAACTCCTTTCTCGCTCTCTCTCGTTCTCCCTCTTACAAACGCAGTGAACTCCTCTCTTAACCGATTTTTTTTTATTAAAAGCTGCCTCTCAAATATTATAGGTAAGTGACTTCATTGTCTTGAAGAATAATTCGTTTTTTTTAAAATGAAATAATTATTTCTGTCTATTATCACGAATTTTAGGCACAGTAAATTTTATGCGTAAGTGACTTCATAGTCTTGAAGAATAATTCGGTTTTTTAAAAATGAAATAATTATTTCTATCTATTATCACGAATTTTAGGCACTGTAAATTTTATGCATAAGTGACCTCATTGTCGCGAAAAATAATCTTTTTAATAAAATTGTGATATTTTATCTATGTTAAAAATTTTAAATGCTGTAAATTCTTAGAAATAAATTTATTTAATTTTCTTGTCTATTGTTAGAAAATTTTAGATACTGTAAAATTATTAGAAATAAATGTGATATTTCTTCTTTTAGTAAAATTGTGCTATTTCTTTCTACTGTTTTTTAATATTTAGACATTGTAAAATTTATGTGCAAATGACTGCCTTGTTATTTGAAAACTGATATTTTTACAATTGATTATAGCATTGTGCGTGAAATGTTTATTTGCGAATTGACATCCCATAAATTGTGATAATTCCGTATTCTTGAATTTCTATAAGAGTTTTTCTATACATATTAGATTTGCAATTATGCTAGAATATCTTTACGAACTGCTACCTTTCAAAATTTGAGCCCAAAAGATTTGACTGGTTATTTTTGAAATGTTATTGAAAGTGACTATTATTAATGGTTTCAGTGAAATTCATATTAATAATTTCAGTGATATGTTGAGTACATGATATTACTGCTTTCGAATGTTTAAAGAGATTTAGAAATACTTTAAGTATGCAAGTGGACTCATCCGGTTCGCCGGTGAGGTATAAGTGGACCTGTCCCGTACGTCGGTAGGGATTAAGTGGACTCATCAGGTACGCCGGTGAGGTATAAGTGGACCTATCTGGGACTTCCATAGGGATTAAGTGGACCCATCAGGACGTTGATGGGGTATATAGGTGACCTACTTAGGACGCTAGTAGGGTAATTTGTGAAATCATTTGAATTATACACTGCCATTAAAATGCTATATGCATTTCAATTATTTGGATTACACTTAATTATGCATTTTTGAAAGTGAAACTTTTGATGCATTTCTGTTAATAGATCTCCTTTTTGAAAATATTGATATTTTTCAACCATGATTACTTTTAGGATTATGATGATCACTTACTGAGTAGCCAATTTCATCAAATTGTGGTCAACGTTTTCTCAGAATAACTGTGGTTTCATATTGAGTGCTCGTCAGGATCAACTTTGGAAGATATTGTAGTTGTGCTTAAACTTTCTTTTGTTACTTTGTAAGAATTCGCCAATGTAAATTTGTCCTACCAAGATATGTATATATGTTTAGACCTTTATGTTAATATTAGTTATGAACAGAGTTTATATAGGTTTGAGGGAAAAAAAAAACAAATCTTAAAAGGGGGTTTTGATTTTGATTCATGGCATGGTAGATATTTAAAATTGCTTTGTTTTGCCTGTCACATGTCAGAAATATCAGTATTGTCAAATTCTTTGGGTGTGACAGAGACTATTCGAGAATGATCCAGATCACCAATTCAACCGATTAGAGCTGAGATTGGGAGTGGGCTATCTGTCTCGCCGATCTATTTTTGTTTTTGTTTAAAACATTGGAGGTAAGTGTATAGTAATGCTCCTCGATGCCGTTTTTATAAATTTCAGATGAGGAGATATATAATTATCTAGTAATTTTTAAGTGGTTCTTATAATTTTAGATAAAAAAAACTTCTCAATTTAGTCTTATGCCAGAGTAAGTGCACAATATACTCCGACGAGAACGTACTATACATGCCCTTACCATGTAACATGCGTTTTGTTAAATAAATAAATAAAAAAATAGAAGATTGCACACCCATTAGGCCATTACATAACAACCCATCGGGATAACAATAGGCCAGGTGCCCCGGCTTAAAAAACTATGCCTTGGGTTAGGGGTAGGGGAGGGTCAGGCTTTTTCATTGTTTTCTATATTTTTTTTTTTTTTACTTGGCCTAACCTAGTGTAGTTTGGCCCTTATAGGACTAGAGCTAGGCTTGGAGTATAGCCTTTTGGGCCCGGTTAGGGCTGAGCCGGGCCTCAGCCAGCCATATTAAGACTAGGGTCGAGCTAGGGCCACAATTTCCATTGCTGAGAAAATGAGATTCAACAAGATTCCGGCGATTGGCTTGGGGTATCGATCAAAAGAGCTGCAATCTTAAAATTTCTTTTCAAAAACTTGGGAGGAGAAGGAAAAAGAATCTTAGGTTTCCAATGAATGAGGATGCAACCCACCAATTCATTCTGATAAAAAATAGCTATCAATTTTGGTGCTTTTACCTGATTACAAGATGATCTTCTAGGTGATTTGGAGTTTGATTCATCTAAAACATTTGAGGATCACACATACTCTAGATGGGTGGGGACCATTGAAGAAGATCATATCTCGCAGATTTTGTGGTAGAAGATGACCTAGACGAATGCACTGGCTATGAGTTTGCTTTTTCATTTTCATGGAAGATGCTCTTTACAGCTATTTTCAATTTGCAATGGTTATGACTTTTTCTTTTTCGTGGGATAGATTATTTTTGTTAGGAAGTAAAAAATGGAGAGCGTTACTGAGAGGTTAAGCATGGAAGTGGAGGATGATAGTGATGATGTAGATGATGGGTGCAGAAAGGTGGTGGATCACCCTCATGTCATCTTGGGGAAAGATGAAGTTCTCGACTCTGTAAGAAGAACTTCAAAGATGGTGGTGGGATCTTTCTCATCACCATCTAATGACTATTTCGGCCTTGGTGACTGGGCTAGGAGGGCCTGGAGTTTGTCGTACGAGCCTGCGGTCAAGAAAATGGAGGACGACCATTGTGTCTTTATCTTAGCATCTTCTGACAATGTGTGGAAAGCTATGCAGGTTCCAATACGATGAGTTAGAGGTAAGCTCTTAACATTTAGAGTCTGGAATTCTTTGGTTCATCCTTCCTTAATTCGCAAAATTTTTATTCGATTAGACTGTTTGGTATCCCTTTGCTTGTTTGGAATTTTGATATTTTTCAAAAGCTTGGGAATATATGTGGGGAGGTTGTCAGTATGGACTGGACAGGTCTGAACAATGGGGATATGTCTTATGTTCGGATGCGAATTAAGAGGAATTCGTTTTCTCCTAATATCAAAGCCAGTATTTGTTCAAGGAGATGATTTTTTAATTCAAGTTCAGATTGAAGGTCTTAGAAATGGTATCAAAGAGGCTGACAAAGTGAAACTGAGAGTGACTGAAAAATGACTCTAGGGATGATATGGAATCAAAGTGGCAAATTGTACGCAGGAGAGGCCGAAAAGAGGGAGAAGGTAATGCCTTTGGGAAACAGGGTTCTGGAGAAGTGTTGCAGAGAACAATGATAACCAAGCCTCAAAGGTGGAAGAGTTGTACACGTGGTGGATGGAATAACGGTAATTTGAAAAAGAAGGTGGCATATGATGCAACGCCCACGTGTAAACAAATTTGGGTTTCAAAAAACAAGTAGGTCAAAGTAGGTGATAGTTATGTAAATTCAAAAAAGGATGACCAAGTAGCCCTTCAAAGATGTGAGGTGGGATCCACTAGCCGACAAAGAGGCGGTGGAAGTGCTGACCAAGGCAATAAAGATATTCAAAAGACAATTAAGGGGGATATAGGGAAAGTCAATCATATTCCTAAGGGTGGCGGGGAGATCACCTTTGGGGACATAGTTGTCCCTATCAACCAAGTATCAAGTGGGATTAACGTTTATCCATTGCTTAACTTGGGGGGCTTGGATAGCATTGGCAGTTTAACCTCTAATATGAGGGAGGTCTCTTATTGTATTGAAAGAAAGGAACCTTCTACTGGAAAACATGCCTTAAGAGGTAGGAAGAGAGAGATGACCTTCTCTGTAGAGGAAGTGGTGGATGTTTTGTTTTATTTATTCAAATTCCACAAGGTTATTGCCACAGTGCTTGCGGATGCCTGGTGGAGGAGCATGGAAAGGTTCTTGCCTTTTGGTAGGGCTGCTCAAAGGAGGTTGATACGGGGTCCGAGGGTTATAGCCGAAGATCAAGGCCCGTCGATCGTGGTCATCGAAGAAGGGGTGGGGGATGACATTGTACCAATTCAAATGCTTCCGGCCGCTACGTCATTACCTTCTCTTCAGCGGTGGAGGACAGTGACTTAGAAGACGAAGTTAAGCTTCCATCACCTCCAATGCCTTTGGGGCAACGTAATCGTGAGCTTTTGCCTCCATTGCTGAGGGCGGCAATTGTAGAGAAAGATCAAGA